CTGGTGCACTGCCGGCTGATTTCTAGCTCGGTGAAAGAATTTCTAGTAACCTTGCTCTGAGGTCTCACGGTCTGATAATAAAGCACTTGCATGAGTATACTAAGTCATACTATTTTGTTGAAATTTAAAGCCCTACTAAGTGCATGTTACACTGCATAGATTGTATACTAGCAGATACTGTCCAGTGAAGCATAAATTAGGATTTCTTTTCATGTGCAAAACAGCCCAATTTTTTAAGAGTTGAGGTGGATTTTCAACAAGAGGCAAAACAAATAAGCTAATGCAAAATTCTTATTATTAGAGATAAGTGGATATGCTTCTTTTTAAATTCTGAGCTGAAAAATGTAGACAAAATAATGGAGTTTAAGCTAAAGATGGAGCATGATCTCTGTACATAGCACATGTGAATAAATGAAAAGCTAATGGAATATTCTTTTTTTTTTTTAATGACCTATCAGAAAGTAGAATTCAAACCCCAGGGTTGTTTTAATTTTTCCAATCTTGAGTATGTTTTGAAGTTTGTAACACTTTCTGACACAGTCTCTGATTTTACTGTTCAATGTGACGCACTGATCAAGTTCTGTTGCAGCATTTCCACACCCTCATGAATACTGTTTACAGGGAGACTTGGTTGAGTCCTCTTAAATGCTGTAGCAAACTGTGGTTCGAGCAACCTGTGGGAGGGGATGGAGGAGGGGGCAGACTGAGACAGATCCTAGACCAGTGTAAAGAATGTGTATGTGTATATAAATAATTTATCAAATAGTTTTCTCTTTGTGTCTATATGTATTAGTGTTTTTAAAGCTGCTCATTTCATTTTGTCCAACCAAAAAGAAAAGGGAGATATCAATGAGCTTCTAGTGATGTTCAATATTGCTGTTAATAGGCACTATACCCTGCAAGTTCACTGCATGTCCAGTGCTAGGTAAAATTAGTATTCCCTGTAAAATGCTGGTTACAGGTATTCAAGCAATCTAGTGGTATACCCGCCCCTTGCCTTAGTAAGAGGAGCAGTGAAGATGTATATAGTTGATGTTCAGTATTTCCAAGTACTACCATTTTTATAGTAATTTCTTTGATCATAAGTCACCCCCCCCAAAATATGACCCTTATTATATTTGAGGGTTTTAATATTAGAATTGGCATATGTACTTTATTTTTGAAAAGGGGAGAGATGGGTGTGGGGTGGTAATAGCATTGTACCATTTTGTCATAGAATGTAAAAAAATTGGTCAACTGTACAAATGTCCTTGCTAGTTTTGGCTAATAATGGGGGGAAATTTTAGGTAATTTTTAAATTCAAATGTTATTTATAAAATGCTAGGATTTGTTTTAATTTTGTATTTCGAGTCACTTCACACGAAGACTCAGTTGCAATTTTTATCAGATACATTTTTACCAACAGTTAAAGATTATGGTGGTCCTCTGTTTGAATAAGAATGTTGTTACCATGTTCTTTCTTTGTGGTACAATATTCCTTCAGTGTAAAAAGAGATGCTTCTCGGTCAAGCAGACAAACCCTGTAGATGTGTAATTACATGGAAAATATTTGCAAGGAGATGCTTTTAGTACTAACCATTTCATAGTCTCCATGAGTCTGTAGCAGAATTGTCAAATGGGCCGGAGGCATCTGCGCAGCATCTTTTGTTACTTGTAGGTCTTGTGAGGGGCAGTTTAACCCAGCTCTCAGGCTCTGTGGGGGCAGCGCTCCGAGGGCAGTTCTTGCTGCTCAGCCAGATTCTCAGTCAGAGCGTGAATTCTTCGGAGGTTTTTCATCCATATTTTTGTTGTTTGTAGGAATTTATTTTAAATACTAGGCATAAAAACGCATCCAACTTAAGCTATGAATATTTTTATTTTATATTTTCTTTATTTATAACTGTGCCAAGTATTATTTTGCTACTTATTGTGTTACTCTGTGGAAAGAAAAACTTGTAAAGTGTTTAATTAGTCCTCCTTACATAAATTAAACCTGTCAAAATTTTGTAAAATATTAATCAAAATAAATATTGACTCTTACATGTGGTGGTTGCTCAATTCACTTAGAAGAAATTGATGAAACTGTGATCTGTAAAGATTCTATATTTCTGTCTTGATCAGATTGGAGTCAAGTGCTATGGGATTTTATAGGAATTTGCATAAGTGAGTAAAACTGGTGGTATTCTAAAATTTCTGTGTGTGTGTGTGTGTGTGTGAGAGAGAGAGAGAGAGAGAGAGAGAGAGATTCTTTTTCAATAAAAAGATACATTTTTTTCTTAGCATATTTTGGATTCCGTGGAGTTAATGAGGACCTCAGGAAGTACATGAATATAGATTTTGAATGTAAGTATGTCTAAAGCCTTATAATAAAATAATGCAAAATGATAGCTTTTGATCCCGGTCACTTCAGATGCTAGACGTGGCAAAGAAGGCATCTTTGCAGATTTAAAAGGCAAAATGATGATGAGCCCCCCGCCCATCAGTCCTGTGTTTCCCTATGGTCTGAGGCTGGTGGTAAATCAGTAGTTGCAGGCTGGACTAACACTCAGTTCGTAATCCCTTTGACATGAAACAGAGGTGCTCTGGTGCTTTGCCCTTCACTTTGACGTCCTGACCAGCCCCTGCATACTGGTAGGCCTTGTCTGTGAGGTGGCTGGGTGCCTGGGTTAGTATATAGAGTTCCTTAGCTTCCCCAAGTGCTTACATGTCTGTTAAATATATTTGTGACTTTTCAAATAGAAAGTCTGTAGTTACAAGTAAAATACCCAGTGCTGGTCTAAGTCACAAACTCAAAGAAACCAGATCTGGCTCTTAGAAAGCCCTCACCTCTGCACTGGATGGGTGTTCTGCTAAATGACTTTACTCAGATTAGTCTCTATTTGTCATCACACATTACTAGAATTGAAGAGCTTTTGCTTTGTTGCCCAGGCTGGCCATGAACTTGGAATCCACCTGCCTCTGCTTCCCAGGTAGCAGGGCTTTTAAACATGCATCACCACACCGTGCCTGATGCAGTTCTAATAGGTGACAGCATTTTAATTCCTCGTTATTTGCATTTATGTCATCAGAAAGGTTCACTGTGGCTTGCTTATATAAATGTACAGTTTTACCAAATACACAGCTGCGTGGTTCTATTGATTTACAGTTTCACCAAATTTGAAAAATTTCAGTTAGGCCTGCAACTCTCTTGGGTAGCAAGGTAGCAGGTCCTGTGAGAGGTCACCGACTTCCACGGCTGCGTTTTCTGTTTGGATGGTTTCTGTCACTGTCCGGGGATTTTTCCTGCTGTCTAATCCCCCATTACTATTAATCAGTTTTCACCTTATACTTTGTAGTTTTTTTAGCTGTAATGTCTGATTTGGAAGTTTGTTCTTTTCTCTACTCTGAAAATATATAGGTGTTTCCATAACCACCTCACCTGTTTCTTTTTTTTTCCTCACATCTCTGCTTGTTTTGATGACTTTTGGTAGTTTCCTTCCTTGTTATTGATGGTGTGTTTTTAGTGGGTTCCCCCTTTTCATGCCTAGTAATTTTTTTTTATTACTGCTAGATTTTTGTATTATAAACATTTTGAGCTTTGTTTTGGAATTCAGATAAGTTCTTGGAAAGTTTATCTTTTTTGGTCTTGATTTTAAAATGTGTCCGGCAAAGCTAGAGCATGGCGCAGTTTAGTGATAGCCTTCCTGCCTGCCTTCCGTGTGAAGTACACTAGCCAGAGCCCCAGCAGTGCTTTACTTAGAGTCCTGCCTGTGGGGATGGAGACCTGCTGTGCCATGGGAGCAGCAGCCGTTGTCCTAAGAACAGTGGAATACCCCCCCTCCCCCAACACTGTGTGGAGGCCAGGAGTGGATGTCCAGTGTCTGGCTTGATCACTTTATTTTCAAGACAGGGTCTCTGGACCTGGAGCTCATCAGTTCAGCTGGTCTAGCTGGTCAGTGAGCTCCGGGGACCTCTCCCCCAAACCCCAGGGTCACAGATGTGTACCGCTGCAGCAGCTTCTGTCTGGGTGCTGGGGACCCAGCCATACTTATGCTTGCACATTCACCCAGCCATCTTGCTAGTCCTCGCCGCGTACCCCAGTGATCCTAATGAAGACAATTTCCACCTACACTTGGGGAACTGTCTCTGGGAGGCCAGCTCCCACCTTTAACAGGGTTCCTATGAGAAGGAGATAGGCATAAGGAATTTGTAGATAGATAGTGGAGATGAGACAGACAGAAACACAGGACAGCTTTGGGAGGACCTGGATCAAAATCCACTGGCCCCTTCTGTCTCTACAAAAGGGCTTTTTATAACAATGCCAAGGGGAGGGGCAAAAGACCTCGCCCTTGCTAGATCAAAGCACACAGCCAGCCAAGTGCAGACCCTTCCACACACCTGGAAACCACGCACGTGGTCAAGTCATCCCCTATGCAGCCCTTCTGGGTAAAGCAAGCTCAGATCTCACCAAGAAACCTCTGTGGGCCGGCCTCCACGACTGTCCCATTGAAGAAGAGTGCCTACCACCAGACTGTAGCGGGCAGAAGGGAAAGGAGCTGCAGTGGTGGCTGCCACCTCTGAGATGCGATGCCTGGCAACCGTGAGCGGATGCAGCTTGACTGATAAAAGGATCTGCCCGTGAGTGTGTGTGGCTGTGGGAACATGGGAACCGGCTAGTGGCCATACCTTCAAAAGAGAATGAAAGCCCACTCCCACCCCAAGTAGCTACTAATGGCCAGTAGCTCCTCAAGGAGAGCTGATGGAGGGCACCTCAAAACAAGAACCATGACATTTGGGGGGCGGTGTGTTAGGAGTAATACGATTGCACTTTGCTGTATAGATACGAGATTCTCAAAAATGATTTTTTAAAGCCTTCAACTTCCACAGTGTAAATGTTAGCCTAGCGCCGAAAGGAGATGATTGCCTTTTTAACACTTTTTTTTTTAATCTCAAAATTTGGTTCCTTTGGAGGAAGGAACCAAATGATCTTCCACTACCTAAAATCACAATAGCTCCTCCAAAAGGTTAACTGAGAGACAGTACCCAGATCAAGCCAAAACTTTATTTCAGATGTAAAAGAGATGCTCTTAAATGCTAGCAAATGAGCGAGCGAGCGAGCACAGTGCTGTCTCGTCCAGCCCGCCTGTGCAGGTAGAGGTGTCATGCACAGTGCCGGGTGCTGGTCGAGTTTCACAGTAGTGAGTGCTGGAAGGCCATCTGTGTTCGGTAGTGAAGATTCTGTGTGCAGTGCCTCGTTCTGGGTTCACACCATCACTGTGCATGAACAAGGGCCCCTGCTCCTTGACCGTAGCCAAATCCCTTGGGCCCAAAGTTCTTTGCATAGCACCCTGCAAAGGAGAGGAAGAGTTAGTCGGAGTTCTTAACTGTTGCTCCCACCACTTGAGACAAATGTCCATAAACTTAAAAGCCAACTGTAGACTCTGTCAGAGGTCAGTGTAAGATCTAAAGTGTGATCTGTTACAAGCATCCTTGTGTGAAGCAAGGCCAGGAATTTCCACTGCAGTGTAGTTCGGCCCTGCTGAGTTATAAACATGAAGTCCTGCTAAGTTACAGGTCTGTTATCTTCATACGCTCAAATGTTTTTGCTTTAAAGCAGGAAGTCAAGGCTGTTGGGGAGGCCGTGCTGAGGACGGGGCTCAGCCTTGTGAATGTACTCCATAAGCACTTTACTGTTCGGCCAAATTCCCAGCCCTGTGGGAGTTACACAGAGGAATGGGAGAGTGCACTCACTGTCACATCTCCCTCTGCATCTGATTTTCAAACAGCGACACTACACCGGTTCAGGGCTCTTATATCAGATGCCCCATCAACCTAGAAGGTTGTGAGATACGTTGGAGAGCCGAAACAAAGGAATTTTACCTTTACAATAGATTTCACCTTCTTTCTCAGTCAGAGTTGTAGATTCAAGGCTCTTCCCACACTTGGCACATCGGAAGCAGTTTTTGTGCCAGGGCTGGAAGAGACAGATGGGTTAGGACGTTTAAGAGGCTTGTTTCCTTTGGTCTGATTAATGCAGCAGGTGGCTGGGGAAAATCAGCCCACAAGCAAGTTCCTCGTGCTACCGTTTGGTCAGCTAGAAAGCCAGACCTGGCCCTCCTCCCTGTCCATATCCTGAGCACCCATAAAGGGCAGTTTGCCTGGGAGCAGGCTCTAGCCTTGCCGCAAACCCAGCCTGCTCCTTTGAAGTTGCCATCTTCCTGGATGAAAATGTAGCAGCTCAAAGGAATTCAGTGGTGATTTCTTAAAGTCCAGCTATGACCATCTGATGTCCCAGCCCTGATAATACTGCAGAACCTGTACAAAGCAGGATGCTCGCAGTTTGGCCTTTTGAGAGAACCCGCCTGATGAGAAAGTTCCTTTAAACATGATGGCTGAGCATGGCTATCAGTTCCATAAATTAGTGATTCCGATAGAAATTCAGTTGGAAAAGCTTCATCTAAGTGGGAAATGGAAATGGGTGTGGGGGGAGGGGTAGGAGTGGGAGGTGGGATGGGGTGGGGTTTACAGTTACCAGTGAGAAATGGAAATGGGGGTGGGGGGTGGGGTAGGGCTGGGGAGCTTACAGTGACCAGTGTGAAACAGCAGCTTATATACCTTCCCGGCTCCGATTATCTTCTCGGCAGCATAGACAGAATCCCCACACCTGGAACACTTCTCAGCACCTCCATATTTCTGGGCAAATTTCGAAGTGTTTGGGTTTGTTGTAGGCCTGTGAGGCTGAGCGCTTGAGGAAAGGGAAAAAGAATGAGGCCACGTTTCCCCAAATGTCTTGCACGCTAACGGAGGAGCACTGTCCCCTGGCCGTGTCAGAAGTCTGCAGGGTGGGACAGCCAGCAGAGTAAAGGAAGAGCCCAGGTGCCCAGCTGGACTGACTTAGCCTGTGTACGGATTCGTCAGGTGCTAGAAGTCAAGCCCAAGCTGGAACTTTATCTTTCCCTGAGTGTGAACAGAATTTATGAAATCCTTAGCGCTGCCCTAAGCAGTTCTGTCTCCCCCACAGTCATTAATCCAACTTGATCATTGCTAGCTCTGTATTTCACAGGAGATGGCAAAGTCGACACTAAGCTATTCTGGAGGTAAAAATACCTGCAAACACATTGCTGGTCTAAGTCATTCATAACTAGGAAAGGGAGGCATATTTTACAGATTATTTGCTCAATATATCTTTGGCAGGTGAAGTGTGAGTCAACTATTTTCTTCATGGGAAATACTTCTGGAAATTTCCCTGCTACTCTGTTTTGGTTTTTACATTTTCTTGTGGCAGGGTGGTATTTTTGTCACTACTTACAGGTTATGAGGGTAAGTCATATTTAGCAGAATTATTTCCCCCCATTCATAAGCAGGCACACTAAAATATGCTAAACATCCTCTTGGCCACAGGGGCCTTTTAGAACCTGAAGTTGGCAGGTGTACTGCAGGACTGTGTAATACATTGTTAAAGCACACACATGAATCAGATTTTAATATAGAAATGCTGATTTTTTTCATTAAATAAATTTTCAAAGACTTTGCCTGCTCCTTCATCTCTCTTCACTCTGAATTAGAGTCACTTAGGAGTTTTCTACACGAATTGTTGACTATATAGCAGTCTTTGAATCTCTGTGTGTGTGTGTGTGTGTGTGTGTGTGTGTGTGTGTGTGTGTGTCTGTCTGTCTGATTCAGAGTATGAAATCACGGCATGTTTCTTCAGTTGTACTTAATGACAGAACACTGTATACATAATAAGTAAATAATATTAAAACAAACAAACAAAAAAAACAACTTTACACAGGCCGGGTGGTGGTGGTGGCACACACCTTTAATCTCAGCACTTGGGAGGCAGAGGCAGGCAGATCTCTGTGAGTTCAAGGCCAGCCTGGTCTACAGAGTTAGTTCTAGGACAGGATCCAAAGCTACTCAAACCCTATCTCAAAAAAACTGAAAAAAGAACTTTACACAGATCACCTCCTTCTGGCCTTTTAACAGCTTCACAGGGTGTGGATACTTCATATCACAGATGAAAGTTAATCAACTTGCTGATGGGCTAAAACAGTAAGTTGAAAGCCTGACCTGAAAACACTGCCTGTCTAAACGACAGTGTTCTTTACTTTGGTGCTACCTCTCAAGGAGACCCTGTGAAAGAAGCCTTTTCATCTGTGTATTAAAAGGCTTCTGGGAAAAGGAAGAAGAGCAGAACGTGGCCCCACCGAGAAGGAACAGGCGGGGGTACAGCTGGACATAGGTCACGCACACACACAGCTTGCACACAGATCTTGCACACACACAGCTTGCACGCACAGCTCGCTTATTTCAGGAAAGGGGGAGAAACGGCAGAAAGAGCACCCCCTTTGTCATTGTGTTTTTCCAGTTATGGCTACATACAGACACTGACTTTGGGGGTCATGGATGGATTTAGCTGTCATTGACGGGAAGGTTTAGAGGTAACAAGTATTTTGAAAATTTTGAAATTAAACCTTGGGAATCAGGAATGCACTTAAAAAGTGTGGGTTAAAAGCACAATACATTTTAACAGTGTCCGCAAGAGCTATAGTGGCAGTCCCTGGACCACGCAGGGAGATCCCATTTCAAAATCGGGGAAGAAGGAAGGAGATGGAGAGGAAGTTCCAAATGAAACCCTCTTGCATGAAATGAAGCACTAAGTAACGAACAGATTAGCACTCTGGTCCTTTGTCCCTCAAATCATCAGAAACAGGAAATAGTTTCAATTTTAAGTTAATGGACAGTAATTTCCTGAGGAAAGAGTGACTAAGGACTTTCCATGGACTGCTCAGCTTCCTACCAGAACCATCTCGTGATTCAGACACTTAATTTCAGGATAGTCGCTCTCCAAAGTGCTGTGGAATGTTAATTTAAGTCACTTTTCCTGAGACTTGTGGTTTCCCGATAAAACCAGGGCTAGAAGTCCCTGCAATAATCACTAAGACTTTGAGTACAAAACTGTCAATATTTTGACATTAAAGAATGTCACAGAGTTCACACTGGCGTTTAGTAGAGGTTCTGTTACATCTTGCTTGCTTAGTTGAAGCTAAATGCGTGGACATTCCCAGGCTCCTGGCTGGTGAACAACAGCCCTGTTCTACCCACTTTTAAGACAGTAACAAGCATTCTCTCTCACCTCTCTGGCTTGATGCCCAGCCTCTCACCACGGTCCATGTTGAGCGTGCCAGCGCCCTGGCCGTAACCATAGCCTTTCGGTCCGTACTTTTTTCCATAGCAAGATTTGCAGTAGATCTCTTCATCATGAATTGCCACTGTGGTGCTGTCTAAATTTTTCCTGCAGACCACTAAGGGGGTGGGGGTGGGGGAGTTAGATTTTCAACATCATTTAACTCTGTGTGTGTGTGTGTGTGTGTGTGTGTGTGTGTGTGTGTGTGTGTAATACATAATACATACTTAAAACAGCGGTGTCTCCAAATGACAAAGGCTGTCTCCCTCCCAGTTTATCCTGTGGTTTCCCAGAAGCCATGAGCCAGCATCTACGGCAGCCCACTCCACCTACAGATTCAGTCACCTTCCTCTGTGGTGTGTATGAGAGCTGCTTCACAACAATGTCAAAATTTCCGCATCACAGATTCAAACGTTTTCTGTACAGAATCTGCCTCTCGGCAGCAGCAAAGCCTTCCTCTCCACCTTTAACGCTCATTCTTTCTGCCGTGTCATACCAAATATTTACATCACAACCTGATAAGGAACGAAAGAGTAAGCGAGTGCCTCGGAGTTGCCTCTGGGCTCCCTTCCCCCTAAAAGTACATTCCAGATAAAAAGTTTTCAATGCAAAAGCCTAGTGTTCATCTCTAGTCTAGAATGAAAAGTAATCTCTCCTCCTTCCAGCTTCTCTCCAGCCGTGATGAGCGGGTCTGAAACTCATCAAGTGGTTTGAGTCCAGCATTTGTTTCCTGTCTCAAAGGAGAACGCATTCTTTCTTGATGGATTCCTTACCACAAGACAGTTCTACGCACCCCACATCATAAAACTGCCAAATGTCATCAGGCTTTATCCAGACATTAGTTCACTTTCTAAAACTTCAAATCAGCTTGAGAAGGAGGAAAAAAAAAAAAAAAAACACAACCAAATCAAAAAACATTGTGAGGGAACTCACTGGTGGCATGGTCTGGCAGCTGGAAACCAAAGCTTAGTGGGACAGAGAGAGGAATTTCACCCCCTTAAAAGAGAGGGCAGGGAGGTGGACAGAAGAACAGCTGGCTGGCTGGTTTGCCGTGGCTTCTAATATCTTAGACTACCGTGTTCTCTAGAAGAATAAAAAGAGCTACCACGGACGGCAGCAGCTTCAGGCTCAGTGCTAACATGCAGTTGCTTAGACGTTATTAATCTCTAGGCTTAATAGCCTTAATAAAGCGTAAGTACATACGAAACCTGTCCTTAAGAACATGTATGTTAGGGCTGGGGATATCGCTCACTGATAGAGCACTTGCCTAGCAAGTACAAGATCCTAAATTCAAACTCCAGATGGCAAACGCCAAAAATTCCCATGTATGTTAGTTGCCACAGCACAGGTTTAAAAACCACGATTTCCTGGGGTGTCGCCCTCTTCGATGATCTCTGCAGCGAATTGTCACAGATCGGTAAGTGACCCCGAATTCCCTTGTAAGGTTCCAGTCAGCTGAGAGAAGCATTAGGAAAGCGTTGTAAATAAACACTGATTTTGTTACAGTACAAGCAGCGGGGCTTAACCTAGAAGAAAAATGAGAACTATTCCTAAAGTATTTGCATTTCAGGTTTTCAACATTTTGCTTAGTTACATGCCTGTTAAAATATGGATTCCCCTTTAAAAAAAAAAAATCACCAAGAGAAAAGAGCCATGGCCTCGGAAAAGAAACAGTTCAACTAAGTCTGAGGAAGAGCCATTATAAAGTCACGAAAACGTGCCTGTGTAATAATTTTACTTTTTGTAAGCACAGCGTCCTGTTAGGTTTTACTGGGAAGCTGTCATACTGTATGTACGTTGGTCCAGACAACTTGAATGTTGGCATCTATGGAGATGAGACAAGCCACATTTGAAAGGGTTTTGTGTTTGTTTGTTTTCCCCTAAAGTTTAATTCTTAATGTAAGCAGTTTTTGGAGACAGGGTCTCAGTGTTTCCTCAATGTCACATGGCTGCCTTGGAACTTGATATGTAGACCAGGTTGGCCTCAAACTCAGAGATCTGCCTGTCTCTGCCTCCTGAGTGCTGGGATTAAAGGTCTCTGCTACCACACCTGCCCAGTAAATTGATGCTTAAAATATGGACTCTTTATCTTTAAACTGTGTTTGCAATACGGTACTTCTCACTGTATAACGCTATAAATAAGGCAGAACTCTGCATGTATGGATTCTTCATTAAGGAAAGTTCTATCATTTGACTCATGGTGACTGATGAGGAGGCTTTCTCAAGCCATGAGGCTACTGCTTTGAAACTTTAGACTTCTGGGGTCTTGTGAAGGGGGTTTCTCTCTTCTTATTTCTCTTATTATGGGGGTGTTGACTCTTCAGAGCACACAGATATATGTTGTTATATAAATAACAATAATTCCCATCATGCCTATAGGGACCCTTGGTGTCCTATACTCTCCCAAATTAAGAATACCAGTAACCACTAGTACCTAACAATACCATAGAAGGTCAAATTTGAGCTTCTGAAACTAAGCTCATAGACTGAACCTCAGTCTGCGGTATGCTAAGAACATGTCAGATGGCCAGGGCGGTGGTGGTGGGTGGCGTACACCTTTAATCCCAGCACTCGGGAGGCAGAGCCAGGCGGATCTCTGTGAGTTCGAGGCCAGCCTGGTCTACAGAGTGAGTTCCAGGACAGGCACCAAAACTACACAGAGGAACCTTGTCTCGAACCCCCCCCCCAAAAAAAAAAAAATGTCAGAAAGGAACTCAGCCAACTGGTAAAGATCAACTTACTTATCAAAACCAAGCCAAACACACACAGGGTGTGCCGGACTGCCAACCGCCACCAAGCCCTCACTGAACCGGGGACACGGGTGACAAACTGCAGAGGACCAAATGGCCAGAGTGGAGGGCCGGGCACTCAGTGTCCTAAGACCAAAGGCACAGAGAAACCCCTTGCCGCTGTAAAATGCGACTCTTGGCTGGAGTTAACTTTTCTTCACAAAGTAACCTGGAGCTTTCTACACACCGTGTTCGCAAGGGGAGGGGACGATACTCACTGCACAGGAAGCAGCAGCGGTGGAAGCTGCGCCCATCACACTGCACCTCCTCGGCGTGGTACACGGTCCTCGCGCAGGCCCCGCACTTATTTCCACCGCCCCAGACCGGCATTCTGCGGAACCAAGGATGCAAGGATGCGTTAGGGCGCCCCGCGCTTGCTTCTCCTAAGTTCCCCACGCCCAAGGAGAAGCGCAGGATCAGATCCGGCTTCTTCCTGAGCCACGCATTTCAAAGGCCTGCGTTCCCCCAGCATAGCCCCATTCTCTCCCAAATTACAGCTCTCATTAGGAAACGGGCTCGGACAGCCTCTCTCTTCCCAGGAGACGAAGGACTTGCATTCAGTGGAAGAGTCGGGTCATCAAAGTAGAACACAGAACAGGCCGCTAGAATCCACAGGAATTAACCCCGGGGGCGGCTGCCCTCACGTTTAAGTAGAGTCATTTGCTATATGCACGCTTCATTCACTGTAAAGACGTTCAATTCTTAACATGTAATGTACGTAAGCTATGAACCTGCTTCTATGTGCCTGCTGGCGTTCAGGCCAATTACAGCTTGCCTCACCGTCTGTGGCCAGTACAACTGCAAGCACCCAGCCCCGCGGTGGTCACCACAACAGGTCACCACAACAAACCGCCCAGATGGCTGCCAAGTTAGTTGCTGTGCGCTTCACTCACCCCAAAGCCCCCCACTAATCCAGCCAAACTCTGGCAGGTTTGTTAGGCCTACAGAAAATGCTACCAAGTCCCCTCCTCAGCAGTGACTGAGGAAGTATGTTGGAGGCGATCTAGGAACAGGGTCTGATGTGATGGGAAATACAAGATTAATCCCAGATCGCCTATGATCGAGGGGCAACAGTCTCTAATCCTCCTTAACAAACTGGCCTCCCCGGACACCTCTAATGGGCCCACTTCCGAGTGCCAGCGTTCTTAGCTGTTTGAGCCTACTAAGAAGGGACCTTGTGTCTGACATCCCCTGACCGGTGGTGTGTACCCACGCAGTGGAATCATCCCTTTTCCCAACACTTTTTTTTTTGGCCCTCCCTTTTTTTTTTTTGGTTTTTCGAGACAGGGTTTCTCTGTGTAGCTTTGCGCCTTTTCCTGGAACTCACTTGGTAGCCCAGGCTGGCCTCGAACTCACAGACATCCACCTGGCTCTGCCTCCCGAGTGCTGGGATTAAAGGCGTGCGCCACCACCGCCCGGCTTGGCCCTCCCTTTTGTGAGGGGTATTTGGAGCCCTCTGCCTGCTAAGTTTCTGGGTGTGTTGCTTACCCCTCTAGGAAACGGCTGGTTATAAAAGCTGACATTTCCTTACAAATATAAACCATATCATTAGAACGCACCGGAAGTAATGATAAGCAGGGGGGAGGGGGAAAGCTTCAATCTTGAACATTAAAAGAGGATGGATTCCCACACAACCAGTAAGGTGGGTCCAGAACTCTATAAGGTTTCCCAATAAGGCCTTTATTAAATATTTATACAATTAAAGATGTATACAATTTATACAATCCCTCTTCTGGTGGTACCACCCTAGACTTTCATCCAGAGTAGCATGGAAGAAACATCTCTCTCAGCTCACGTGAGTTAGAAACTGACCAGTTCAAGCCAAAATTCAGGCAAGCATGTAAGAAACTTGATAGGACTGGAGTGTCATTAGTGTCCACCAAACTCCTTCTGGAATTTAAGGCAGCCTGAGGGGATGGTCCTTGTGGTAGGTATTTGGCTCCCGGGGGTTCCGTTATTACATGTCCAGAGGGAATGAACTGGTTCTCCCAGCAGAGGGCTGTTAGAAGGCAATGCTCTGTATGAACACGCTTCCTGTACAGCCTTCCACTCTGCTGCACACGGGACAGCGCGTAGCTCTGTGGTCATCAATCCTAGACTTCACAGCCACCCGAACTCTCAGCCAAAATAGACTCCTTGATAATGCAATCCAGCTCCGGGTATGTTAGAGCAAAAGAAAACAGAGTAAGGCAGAGGCGTCATGCTGTGCCATGATGACCAGGGGTGTGCATCGCCAGTGTACTCATCCTCTTGAAAACGTCAGTACTTCTATCTTAGAACAAAAAAAAAACCTACTCCTGGGATATGACAGCGGGCCACCCAAGGGGCCAAGGCACTGAGGCAAGGCTGACGGACAGAAGCATGTCTTCGGCACCAGCAAGAAAGGCTGAGCCGCACACCCCGGGGCAGGAGGAAGGGGCTTCCATGCTGAGCTAGACAAACACGGGCTCCAGCCAACCAGAATATATCTGGACTTTCTCAAAAGCACTGGCGTGTGCGGTGTCTGCTAAGGAACAATCCGGGCATCCTACTGTCTTTGTTTGGTCTAGTGTCTCCTCTAGGAGCCTGGGATCGTGCCAGAGTCATGTGCTGAGCAGAACAGGTCATGTCAAGCAGGATTCCCGTACAGAACGTCACCACACACAGCTTGAAAGCACTCATTCCCACGGCACTGGCCCTGCTGATCTCAGCCCGGTTTGTGCCGCTCTAACAGATTCAGTCTGGATGACTGGTCAAACGAAGAAATGTATTTCTCAGAGTTCTGAAGTCAGAAAGGTTCAAGACCAAGAGGCTGGCAGGCTTGGTGTCCGCTGTGGGACCCTGGTCTCTGCTTCCAAGACTGTGTCTTCAGTACAGGGACACTGTCCTCACACGGCTGAAGAGCAAGGAAAGAAACCCACCCCCAGAACCTTTTTAGAGTGGCATTAATCCATTCAGTCCTCAGTTTTTCTGCCGGGCCCCGCCTCCCAACACTGGGAGTTTGGGTTACAACATGCATTCCGAACCAAACCAACCGCTCACACCATGGCAACCCTCAACCAGGTATGAACACAAAACCTCTTGCCAATCCAGCTCAGCGAAAGGTAAACCCGGAGCTGCGCTTTAAAATGGGGTGAATAAGGAAGAGAGGTGCTGGTTCCTGTAAACAGAGAACCCAAGGAGCCAACCTAGAGGAAGAGAGACACCCTTCAAGTACCCGAGCCCCTGATTTGGCTGGACTTCAACTCCTCCTGAACACCTCAGTTTTATGAGCCATTGAATTTAATTTCCAAACCCTGTGAAATCAGAGCCTGTTCCTTGAGATAAACAAGATCAACACTGCTCCACACAAACACTTGACAGATATCACTAGTGACCACTAAGCACTAGGTATTGATTTGCAAAACAAAACAAAAAAAAACAAAAAAAAACAAACCCTACTTCTGCCCAGACAGGAATAAAAGCATCCCAAGGGTCTGTAACTGTTGAAGGCTTGCTGTGAGACCATCCCCTCCGCCCTGCCTTTTGATGTGGCCTCAATCTTTTATCCCCTCTGTGGAAACAGGTGCTTCATTGTTGCAACTCTGAAACTTCCGCCTGACTTAACCCAAGACACAAAACACTAGCTAGCTCCAACAGCTCGCCGTGGCTTGAGTCTGAAGGGCCGGTGGCAATACTGACTGCCCTGGCCTCCAAGGATACCCACTTGGGTTCTGCAGTGCTCACGTGTGCAAGAGGCGTCTGCTGGAGGGAGGGTCCCTCGTGAGTCCTACGGAGGCCAGAGGTTCGGTCCAGGTTTATAGGTGATCACTGGGATACTGAGGCACTCCTGTTATCAAGGTGTGTCCCTCATATTAAACACCAACGATTTAGTCTCAGCCGGGTTGCCAGCTTTCTTTGACCGTGTTATCTATCTCTGGAGCAATCTCAATGAGGAAACAGAACTCTAGCAAGACCAAGGTTAGATTACGTTGTCCTGGATAACGTTCAGACACATTTTAAACAAAAGAAACCCAACTGATCATTTATGCTGTGAAAAGCAGTCTGGATTTAGTTTTTTTTTTTTTTTTTTTTTTTTTGGTTTTTCGAGAGAGGGTTTCTCTGTGTAGTTTTGCGCCTTTCCTGGAACTCGCTTTGGAGACCGGGCCGGCCTCGAACTCACAAAGATCTGCCTGCCTCTGCCTCCCAAGTGCTGGGATTAAAGGTGTGAGCCACCACCGCCCGGCTAGTTTTTTTTTTTTTTTTTTTTTAAAGGAGTTAGTATGTCCCTTTCTTTATGTGGTAACAGGTACTTTAAATTCACTGATAAGTCTGCCCTTACCCACCCTGTGCATGCCACTGCAGCCAGGTGTGGCTATGGCTAAGCTCAGGAAATACCCGGGCCTTCTACAATATTCTGCTTGCCATGTACCTTGATTTCTCACTTCTACAACATCTCAGTCTTGGCCACTTGCTATCAGTTCCTATGGTGTGTATCTAGACATTAAAGTCCCATCCATCTCGAGGGCTTTCCTAAGGAATCTTAAGAACCTTTTCTTCGTTGTAGGCAAAAACAGCCCCAGGAAGCCTCAGTGGGATTTCTGCTCTCTGTTTTAGGACAGCGGACGGGTAGCTATCATCAGTTGCTCTTCCTGTGACCCTGTTTTGTATGTATACCCATTCCACGATAGAAGGGAGAGCAGGGGGACGGGTTTGGACTTTCTTTTTTTTTTTTTTTTTTTTTTTTTGCAACGTTGTGCTTGTCTTATAAACCAGGGAAGGTAGCTCTCACTACAGAGATGCTGTAAAGATAAAATCCTCCATCGGTAAGAAAATCCACGGAACAACCTCCAAACATCAGAGCCGTAGGACCACAAAGTCAAGGAAACCTGTAGCTGATCAGTCACTCATAAGCCTCCTTCCCGGACATTAAAATGCATAAGTATAACAACGCTCTCACTCCCCACACTGGCTGTCTAAAGAAATGAAGTTCAACTTCACACATTTGGTCCGAACCCCCGGAGACGGGACCCGAATCTGGCAGGAGAACATATGATAACCCTCTATCCCTGTCGCTCTTGGCATCACTGTGCATATTTGTAAGAGATGCAAGGCTTCAGTGTTTTTTGTTGTTTTCTTTTTCTTTTCTTGGCCACGCTCCTCGGACAACAGCTGCCATTAATCACGGCAGACTGGACCTGCACCGAGCAGTCTGGGCTGCGTGCCTTGCCCCAGTCCCACGGGCTCCTTGACAGAACGCTAAGACCACAAATGAAATCCCTCTCCGTGCGTCGTAGGCCAAGCCCCGGCGTGTTCTGCTCTCGCTCTCGTTCTCGGGTTTTCACTGTGGCCCGCGGAACTAGGATTTGCCCG